CTGTGACTTTTGGATATTTGTTTAGCTTTTTTTAGAGGCCCGTTCAAATCTTATTTTTCTTCTTTTTTTATTGGATTGTCTTCCTATTACTGAATTGCAGAAGATCTTTATACATTCTAGTTACAATTTACTCCAGTTCATTCTGGCCTCAGTGTTTTCTGATGAAAAATTCATGGTCATTTGGTTTATTGTTTATTGTTCCCCTCTTAAATAATGCATTGTTTTTCTTCTGAGTGCTTTTAATATTTTCTTCCTGTCATTATGTTTGATTGTGGTGTTTGAATTTATCCTATTTGGAGTTCACTGAGTTTCTTGAATCTGTAGGTTTATGTCACTCATCAAATTTGAGAAACTTTCTGCCATCGTTTCTTCAAACTTTTTTCCTGAATTTCCCCTTTTCTCCTCTTTTTCTGAGTCTCTGATGACACAAATCAGTATCTTTTTGTATTGTCCTATGGGTCTTTCAGGCTTTGTTAATTTTTTAGAAAATCCTTTGTTACTCAAATTGGATAATTTCTCTTTATCTCTCTTGAAGTTCACTGATTCTTTCCTTTGTCACCTCTGTTCTAGTGACCCTATTCACTGAGAGTTTGATTATTGTAGTATTTTTCAGCTTGAAAATTTCTCTTTGGCTTTTATTTATATCTTTATTTCTTTGCTGAGACTTTTTGACTCTCTATTCATTTTAAGAGTGTTCACCCTTACTTGTTGAAATATTTTTATAATATCTAGCAAAGAATTATATTAAATAATTCCAGCATATAATTTTGGAATTGGCATTTGTTGAATGGCTTTCCTGCAAGTTGAGATTTTTCTGATTTTTTTTTTTTAATTTGGTGTGCCAAGTACTTTTTAATGTATTCTGGAAGCTTTGAATATTATGACTCTGGGTCTTGTTTAAATCTTACAGAAAATAGTGGTATTTCTGTTTTAGCAGGAAAGTGGTCCATTAGGTCCATGCAGAATGTTCCAACTAGTTTTCTATCTGTGTGTCTTTAGTGACATCTTTCTTTTTACAGTCTTTGCAGTGCTGTTTAGATCTGTCCCCCATGTTCTCCACCTAATGGCCAATTTGGGCAGTGATTTATTTCTTATTTCAGTTCTCAAATTCTTCTATATAATATTTAGGATCAAATCTATGTGTGGGCAGCTTGGGAGTGAGCTAGAAGTTCATAAACAACTTTATATAGCATTGCTTTTCTGAGCTCCTCTCTCTCCATGATCTACCCACCACTTGTGGGTTGCCTGTTGCTTCCCTTTTTAGTCCTCTGGCTATTGATAGAAATGTGCCCTGTTCTGTTACACAATTTCTGCAATGATACTTTGTATCCAGAGCCAAGCAATGAATATTTGTATCCTCCTCTTCGAACCACATTTCTTCCATTGGAAGGGAAAATTCCACTTCCTCGGAGTTTTTGATGCCTATGGTCCCTTCCCTGCCACCCCTACCACTGCCAGAAGATCCCACTCTTCCTTTCCTCAAGCCTGAACCAGAGGCCTTCTGAGGTTCTCTCTGCCTGTGCCAATGCCCATTTCCAGTTCTCTTCCCAGCTGAGAAATCAGAGGGAAAAGAACAGTAAAACCACTACTCACTACAAGATATGTCAAGAACAAATATGTTCTTCTTTCTCAATATTGAGTCTTCCAATTCATGAATACTGTATATCTCTCCATTTTTATTTTTAGATCTTAAATTTTTCTCACCAGTATTTTGTACTTTTCACATACTTGCACTTATCAATAAGTAATTCATGTTTTTTATGTTTTTGTAAATGGTATTTTTAAAAGTTCATGTTCCATTTATTTGCTGCCAGCATATAGAAATACGGTTGATTTTTTAATACTGATCTTCCCTACTGCAGTCTTGCTTAGTTCACTTACTAGTGTGAATAACTGTCTTGTAGATGCCTTAGGATTTTTCCCCATAGATGAGCATGTGATGTGTGAATAATGACAGTTTTCCTTTTCCCTTTATGATCTGTATGCCTTGTATTTCTTTTTCTCGTCCTTTTTCCTTATTGCCTTGGCTAGCATCATCAGTAAAATGTTGAATAGAAGTAGTAAGAATGGACATCTTTCTTGTTCTCAGCGTTAGATGAAAAGCTTTCAGTCTTTTATTACATGCTTTAGGTAGGTTTTTAAATAGGTGCCTTTTCTTACTTTGAGGAAATTCCTTTCTACTTAAAATGTATTGAGAGTTTTTATTCTAAATGGGTATTGAATTTTGTCAAGACTTTTTTCTGCGTACATTGATACAATCTTTCTGTTTTCTGTTAATGTGCTGAATTATATTGATTGATTTTTAACTTTTAAACCAACCTTGCATTCTTAGGAATAATCCCATTTTGTCATGATCCTTTTTAATAAGTTGTGAAGTTTTGATAGAGATTTTTACCTCTGTGATCATTAGGGATATTGTACTTAATATTTTCTTTGATTGGTTTTCATATTCGGATAATGTTAGCCTCATTATATGAGTAAGTACATGTTTTCCCTGCCTTTGTTTCCTGAGTGAATTTTGGTAGAATTGGTATTATTTCTTCCCACAAAAATAATCAACTCCCCTTTTCTTTTTCAATCTAGCCAGTTTGTCAGTTTTATTAATCTTTCAAAGAATTAGATTTTGGTTTTGTTGAGTTTGTTTTTCTGTTTTATGTTGCATTAAGGTCTGTTCTTATCTATTATTTCCATTCTTCTTACTTTTTCTTAATTTATTCTTTTTTCTATTTTTCTTAAGATGAAAGTTCTGATGATTTATTTTAAACATTTTCTTTCTCATATGAGCATTTAAAACTATAAAATCTTCTAAGAAGTGCCTTTACTTAGAAGTACTTTTTAACATCTCTGAATTTGGAATGCATCTCACACTCATTAATGTCTTATAGACGTCATCACTTTTTCTTTCTTACTGGTACACACAGTAATATGCATCTTACATTCACTGTTGTCCGAAACCCAGTGAAATGTAATATTACACAATTTTGAATTTTGCTTAGCTAATAATTACTTCAGATTATTGTTAAGATCCTGACATAATGATGCGTGTGAGTCATAGCTATACTGTACTTGCTATTGTTTATGCTTTGTTTATAGCATGACTGTCATTTTTCATAGCATGACTACTTTTATCTTTTCATATATTATGCTCAAAATCGAGGTTTCCTTGAGAGCCTGCCTAAGATCCTCCAAAGTATCTAGTAGAATCCTCTGCATACAGGGTGCACAGTGTTTTTAGATTTTAATAAAAGATGATAATGACTTAATTGCAGAGTATAGACCTGAAAATGCCCCCCACACTGAAGCCCTCTGAGCTCATAATTAATATGTACATTGAAAATTGCAAGCATGTATATGTTGTTGGGTATGTCCTACTTTCAGTGAACTAGCAGTGCTCAATGACACACTTTTCTGTTTAAAACAGATTTGTTTTTAATTCATCTTAGATCTTTTCCTGTCAGTTGCTGTATTTTTTGTTCAAGTTGTTTCTTATTTTAAACTAAATATGTAAATATTTATAGTGTATACACCCCTCTATTGTCTGTTTTCTTATTTATCTTATCCAATACAAGTTTCTTTTAGATACTTTTTCTCTGGATTTTTATTTTCTCTAACTGAATTTAGTAGAGTGTAAAATTATTTCTTTTAATCTCCTCAGCTCCTTAAAACCCTGTGGTTTTCCCATGCTTCGAAGACCCCCTAGCAAGACGATATTTCACCCTAGTGTTCTGTAAGACTTTGATCCTTACACAGTTTACCCTGCTCCTTCAGGTCTAGCATTTCAGCAGATGAAACTTTATTGTTTTCTTGTTTGTTTTTCCCATTACAGAGGAGTTACACTACTTACCAGTTTAAGTCATGCAATGACTGAATCTAACCCCGAGGGAAAAAGTGACTCTCCTGTATAGTGCTGCCCATGGTACTACTATGAAGAACCCAGGGGTCCATTCTCACAATGGGAAAAGCTTACCTATCAGCAAGCCCGCCGTCTTCCCTGTTCAGAAAGCCCAGGTTCCCATGGACACTGCTCCTTGGTATAGGAAGTCAGTGTTCATGCTTATCAATCAGAACACTTTTGACCTGGGTTGCTAGAATACTCAACTAAAAGTAACTTAAACAATTAGGATTTATTTGTCTCATTGAATGAGAATTCTAAAGTTAGACAGTATTAGGGACTTCCCTGGTGGTCCAGTGGTTAGGACTTTGCCTTCCAAAATGCAGGGGGTGTGGGTTTGATGTCTGGTCAGGAAGCTGAGATTCCCACATGCCTCATAGCCAAAATCCAAAACATAAAACAGAAGCAATGTGGTAACAAATTCAATGAAGACTTTAATAATGGTCCACATCAAAAAAAATAATGATAATAATTCAAGTTAGGCAGTACTAGAGTTGGTGAAGTTCTCCAGTGATGTTAGAGTGGTGGCTTTACCTTTAGAATTGCAGTGTGGTTGCCACTACCTAAGCATCATGGCCCCATACAACATCCATCCCAGAGCCACTTTCCCTGGGGTTTTGTGTGTGTGCCTGTGTCTTTTCCTCTCATCAGAGGAAGGACTTTTCTATTTACCTCCTCATACATCTCATTGTCTGTGTACTTCCTCATATATCACATTGTGCAGGATTGTGTTCTTTTATAAACTGGAGCTGAACACAAGTCTGAGGAAGCAATTATGCAGAATATTCATATTCAATCATGGGAGGTAGGCCCTGATACCAAGGAACGAAAAGGTGGACAAGGGTTGTTGAGCAGACAGTCAATAGTATCTGCAAGTGTGTGTATGTATGATATGTGAGTAACAGAAAAATCGAGACTGCCCTTTTTTTTGGATAAAGGCTGTTGTTCCAGCCTGAAGTTGTACGTGGACTCATAGAGAACTTTGGGGGACCTGCCACAGTGGAGGATGGTAATGGCATTTGGGCTAAAATTGCCGTTGCTTCCTATGACACAATCAGAACTGAATATTTTGTTTCAGTTTCTTGAAATCTTGGTTTTCTGATTTCAGGTTGAGTCCAGAAATCTTCCTGAAACGTCCGGTGGTTGAAGGAAATCGTTGGAGGTTGGACTGCATCCTTAAGCGAAAAGCAGTATGTACTTTACTAACATGCTGATATCATTTTTTAAATGTTTATTGCCTCTGAAATGCCTTTTTTTAAAGCCCTTCATATGCACTTTTAACAGTTTTCTTTAGAATTTGACAAAAAATAGAATACTTACTGTTTTCAAGTTCATTTTATTATGGTTTTTTTTTCCCCATTACTGTTGAAACATAGCTATTTTCACCTAATTCACAGCATGAATTATATTAGCAACTCTGTTCTTTTCGTTTCATAATCAGTTATGGGCAGTTAATTTTATAGGCAAAAATTGTAATGAAAATTCATCATTGAATAATAAATGATAAAATGAAACACAGCATTTTATTTTTTTTCACTATTTGTCATTTGAGCCAAAGACAGAGTCATCTGAGAATAATTTCAGTCAGATGGGTTCAAGCTGATGTTGAAGAACATCAAAGGAGAGTCATAAAAAACCACTGGTTCCAGCTTGAAAACAGTTTATGGTAAATTGACACTATAGATTCTGGGAGAGTATTGAATGTGCTCTTTTTGTTATAAAAAGTAAATAACTGAAGCAGTATAGGCTCACCAATGACTACTTTGCATTCATATTTCTAATGAATTTTTGGGCTTTCCCAGTGGCTCAGCAATAAAGAATCTGCCTGCAATGCTTGAGACGTGGGTTCAATCTCTGGGTTGGAAAGATCCCCTGGAGAGGGAAATGGCAACCTACTCCAGCATTTTTGCCTGGAAAATTCCATGGACAGAGGAACCTTGTAGGCTACAGTCTGTGGGGTCACAAAAGACTTGGACACGAGTTAGTGACTAAAACAACAGAAAACAATAACAGTGAACCTTTTTATGTGGTTGACCCTCAAGTTAAATTAAGTTGAATTAGAATAGATCTAAATTTGTCATTAATCATGTCCAAATTAGGAAGTGCTAGCCTTTTTACTGGGCTTCCCTGGTGGCTCAGTGGTTAAAGAATTCACCTGGTAATACAGGAGATATGGGTTCTATCCCTGGGTCAGGAAGATCCCCTGGAGAAGGAAATGGCAACCATACCAGTATTCTTGCCTGGATAATCTCATGAACAGAGGAGCCTGGCGGGCTACAGTCCATAGGGTCACAAAGAGTCAGACTTGACTTAGTGACTAAACAACAATAGCAGCAAAGCCTTTTTACTATTATTTGAAATTGTCTTAGGACTTCCCTGGTAGCTCAGACGGTAAAGCGTCTGCCTACAGTGCAGGAGACCCGGGTTCAATCAAAATTCTATCATTAAACATTCAAGCAGAATTTTCAGATCCTAAGTAATTGAGGTTAGCATTTTCTATTTCTCACAGCCATCACTCATTTCTTTTTTCCCATCCTCTACATTCCCCTACCCCTTTCCCCACTCACCTTTCCCTCTTCTTTCAATGTCTTTTCCCCATGCATTTAATTTAGGATATCCAGGGGTAGGTATAGGCACTCCTCACTGCTGATGTTAAAAGGAAAAGAAGTTGATTTTCTTGATTTCAAACACATGTTCTGCCAAAGCATCATTTTCTAGGCTAGTCTATCTGTTATCTCAATAGACTTCCATTTACAAAATTGGAAATTCTAGTCTTACATGTATTTGCATATTCATTAAATAATCCCGCATACAGATACGAGTGTGTCCTCTGCATCTGGTCCTATGCTGATGACTAAGGATGTCATGTGTGTGACTAGGATCCCATCCCTGCCCCTGGAGGGCTTGCTGAAGAACTCACATCCTGGGCTCAGTCCTAGGCTTACCAAATGTCTTTCTACATATTGAATGGGCTATAACTTTCTCCATGTTTTTCTCTGTGAAACAGCACCTTTCCCATTTCTCCTCCAGAAGTAAACTCCAGAAATTCCACTCTAATACATTTTCCCAGCTTTGCCCTTCCAGTCATCAGTCATACTAATAAATCTTCCCTTCTTGTGCTTATCAAATGCTTTACTCTCTTAGGTTTCATGTGACATGTTTCTGTTGAATGCCTCCTACGTTAGGGCACTGGCTAATCATATGGGGGTGTACAAAAATGAAAGACACGATTCTTGACCTGAAGGAGCTTAAAGATCTGTATAGAGGTCAGCTGGGTACGGAGACAGTGCCGAGATTCAAAGCAGGAGGGAGAGCATTGTGTAGGTGTGGTGTGGAAGCCCCTCACCACATGAGGGGCTTAGAGCATTTAAGATGGGCCGAAAATTTTAACAGGAGAGATTTCCAGGCATAGGAACTGTGATGAGGAAACATTCTGGAGGCAGGAATTCGAAGTCCTTGTCAATCACAGTGAGGTGACAGGGTTGATGACATACGAGTGTTAGCTTATGTAGGATGGGGCATCAAGCTGAAGAAGCAGCTGGGATGGGGAGGCTTTGGAACTAAGCCAGTGGTTTGAACTTCATGGAAAAACAGTGGGGAACTATTGTTGGGGGGTGTGATGGACGAAGGGTGAGCTGAGCAAAATGGTGTGTTGATAGGGTAAATGTGGTAGAGAAAGAAAGTGGGAAGAACCCAGGATCAGAGAGCTACGTTTTAGATCATGTGACTATGAGGTACCTGCAGGACACCTAAGTATATGCCAGAAAGCTAGTAATTTTTTCCAGAGCGGGGTTCAGGAGGAAGATCCTACAAGCCTGGTCCTCCACTCCATGTTAGCTGGCCTGTGTTTGTTTATTCCCCTCAGCGTACCTGTCCAGGTTCCTTTTCTACCACTGTCGTGATTTCTCTTTGCTTTTATGGCCCATGAACCCTGTGAGGTATCAGGTGAATACTGTGGCCAAATAAATATTACTGACTGATAATGGAGCTTTGTTTTAATTTCGTCTGCTTTTTTGAAACTTGTAATTTTTAAATTACATGTTATGATTTTTTAGATCTCCTAAGGAAAGAGTAATGCTATTAAATATTAATTTCTCAGTGGTACATTTAGTAGAATTTCTCTTCCCTAATCCATCTACACCATATTATTAAATTTTTAACACTCAGATCATTCCAAATTGACATTTCATATGCTCATAAACACTGCTTTACATACATAATTTAGTTTCTGAAAACCACTAGCTTCACAAAGTACTGGGTTGAAATAGCATTTATTCTTGCATTAATGGATCCCAGAGGTCCATAAGGTTGAATGAAATGAATTCTTTTTTTCTTCTATCTGATTGTGCCACTCTTTGGGGAGAAATTTAGTGTCTCTACTTTATAGCCAACAATAGGCAAACATCTCTTTAAATGGCTGTTTCTGGGGGAAAAAATACAATATTTTGTTTCTCTGGTAGTAATAACCTAGTTGATATTTTCCTGTTTCTTTGGTCTTCATCAGGGCATGATGACATGCCCTGTCATCATTTAAAATAATTTAAACCGATGTTGAGAGACAGACTGTTTACAACTCAAAGCAGCATCCCAGGGTTTGTGCAGTTCTGAATTTATTGTACTAAGAGGTAAAATAAATTGCATCATGCTCATGGTAACTGCATCCCTGTATCCAGTTTGTATATTTTAACCATAGAAATACATGATATTTCTGATGAGAATTGCACCAGAAGACTCTTAAAGTGCAGCAATCTGGAGAACTATAGAACCTTCGTTCTCAGGGGGTATTTTGTCATCAAGTTAGTTTCTTTCTGTCCTGGACCACAGAGCACATTCTAAAGTTGCAATCAGGGACCAAAAGCAAGGAAGGATATCCAGGTTCATCAAACGAGATGAATAATCACATCACTGAACAGAAAAATCAAAGAGAATCTTATCAAAGTAGTGGGCTAGAAGGGTGAAATAGGGAAGGAGGGATGGGATCTTCAACCTTAAGGACTGTGCTTTAAACAAAATTGTCTTGGAAAGGAAAAAAAAAAGGCTTATGAGCACTTGTGCAGTTACCTACCAGTGCTGCTTGCATTTCAATGGTGAGGATCTGATTCTTTTTTATCCTTTACTTTTCATTTTCTTAAAATATTACAGACTGTCCATCCCTGCAGTGCTGCTCCCCAGGGAAGTCCTTGACAGGTGATAAAATTAGTGATTGTTCTGGGGGGGAGGGGGGTTAGCTAAGCTGTCTTTAGGCAGTGAACCAGGTTGACTACATTTAGAAAATATTTTGACCACTGTGCTTTGAACGATCAGAGAAAAAGCTGGCTCAGAAACAAAGTCTCTTGATTTCAACTATAAACATTTTTTTATTTTTCATTTTCTTCACATGCATTTGTATGTGTAAAGCACCTAAAAGTTCATACTGTTTATAGTATTGTATCTGTTCTACTTGATGAAAAATGAATTAGAAAAGAAGATAGAACTTTTATCTTTTTAAAGTCAGGTGTCATAAAGTTTATTGTGTGGAATCCTTGGGTTAGCTGACTTCAGCAAAGATAAGAAACAGGACATTGAAATGTAAGAAACACAGTCAATTCCAGGGCCATCTGTTTTCCCACTTACCCTATTAATACTTTTCTTCTGAGCAAAAGGTAATTTCCCCTAGAGTCACTGAAAGGCTTTGGTAAAACATCAGATTCTTCAAAAGCATTATTTTTAAATTACAGAATTAACATCAGTCCTTTTGTTTCTGATTTGGCTTTCACTGTGTGCAAATATTCCCATGTTTTGTGTAAGTCTGCACTTTTAGGACCCAACAAATGCCTTCATTCCCAGGGGATATATTTTGCTTTGCCCTTTATAGTTGAGAGTTTATGATAGTGTTGTAATGCCTTGACCAAAAGAAGAGGAATTTATTTCCTTATTATCACAAAAATCTTGTCACTAATCAACTGTTTATTGTGGACATGACGTAAGTAAACAATTGTAAACCAGACTATATAAAAATGAACTTTTTATATTTAATTGTTTCCTTATTAGTCATTTCTATTTAAGATAAGATGACTTAAAAGTCTGTATCCTATTTCCTATAGGTTAATTTATTTCAGTGAGGAAAGACACAGCAAAGAAGAAAATGTCAGGTATTAGTAGATGGAGGATAATATCAATACTATAATCCATTAGTGCCAGCATCTCTATTATTTTAAAAAATCCATTCGTTATGCAGATAAATGGAAATTTATAAGATTCACTCCAGTTCCTAATTTGCAACTACTGTCCTTTATGAATAATAATCTCATAAGCCTAAGAAGTAAAATTTCATCCATTTTAAAACAAATGAACCGTGATGAGAGATGTCAGGTGTAATGTTCTATAATTTAGGTTGAAATTGGGAGTTTTAAACTTTATATTGCATCATTCAGTGGGAGGATATTTTTTAAACTGTTACTCATTGCTGAATCCTAAAATATTTAAAATAGAAAAGTATATCTGAAGAGTAGAAGAGAAAAATAAAATAATGTTCTAGTTTTCATTTAGAGCACTCACTGACCAGATCAGTGGAAATTAATCTGTTCTCTTCCTGCCTTTAATTAATTAATCCTTTCAGTTATTTCTTTACTTAAGTCTGTACTTTCATACTTGATTACAATAATAGTTGCATAATGTAATAAATGATAAGCAAGTTCCAAAAGTCAGTTGTTAACCAGAGAAATAAAATGACATATGAATTTTTAATCCTGTTTTTTTCAGAGCAAGAATGGGTTTTCTGCTGGTACTCGGATTTCCTTAATGCAGTTCAGAATGTAAATCAGGTGTATCCCTTCAGAAATATGACATTTTTCAGATATTATTAACACCAAGTAAGACTAAGTTAGTATCTTGAAGCGATGTGTTATTCTAAAGGATTTAGGGGCTAAAATATGCTCCTTAGTATTGTCAGAGCAACACTAGGGAATTGTAAACATATTTGGTTTACTCCAAGGTTTTATATCTTGCAAACTAAAAATGTTAACTCCTATGTTTTCTTCACATTTTTGTAACATTGCAAAAATGTCCAGTTGTTATAAATTTGATGTGTTCAATCCAGTAAGTCTTCTCAAATTTGTGACTCAAATGTCCATTATGAACAATGCCTAATTACCATGGATTATATTTAAACTATAACAAAATTATTATTCATCACTATAGTTAATTAGATACACCTGTATCTGTAATACTCTAGAAAAGATTATGGAAAACTTCTTGCCTTTAAATCTGTAGGATATTAAATGTCTATGTGTAGCTACAGTATCCTGTATGTATATAATATGTTTCAGAATGGTTTCAGAGCTGCTAGGTATAGAAAATGCAAATTCAGTGTTGCAGACTACACAGCAATACTTAAGATGCAAACCTGAAAAGTAAAAAAATGATATAAGAAATAAGGATAATAATATAGAGCTTCCTGGAGGAGCTGTATGTTAATGGGGGAACCATGTAAGAGGACAAGGAGAGGGGAGAACATTCCAGTGTCAGGCAAAATTAACCATAAGCTAAGACCTTGTCACTACCCAGAACTAAGAGAGAAAAATAATGGTACTTTTCTTTACTACCAGCTGTTGGACATTCTTTTTGATGGTTAATATTAATAATAAATATTATTTGTATAGCATATTAAAGTTTATGAGTCACTTTTGATTCAGTATGACCTTCACAATGGCTTTGTTTATTTTCCTTTAGGTCCAAGGTCTAAGGACAGATCAATGTTAATTTGTGGGCTGCTGCTAAAACTCAGGGGTTTTTGATTGTTAGAGAAGCTGACTTCTGAAGAAGTCATTTCAGTGGTGAAATAGGCCTTAAAGATTTAACTATGGGTGAAGAGTATGAACCAACACATTCCTTTCTAAAGACTGAGAAATGTTTTTCCACTGAAATAATTTTTAGTAAAGAAAAAAAAATGTATGAAAATACCCCCAGAAACATTTAAGGCTTGTTTAGCATATTTTATCATCAAAGTTTTAAAAAACACTGTTATTTCAACTCATTGTGGTATGGTAAAAACAAAAAGAAGACCCAGTTCTGTAACAATAAATCAGATCAAAACTTTCCTCTAATGTCAAGTGTTTGGAGATATTCAAAGGTATATTTTTAGTATTTAAAGTTGCAGTTTCAACATTCTGGTTGTAATTAGTCAAATATTGACTCAGTATGCATAGAATGGAAAGGAGGTAGCTTTTTATTTTTTATATTTGTGTCTTAATCTACACATACATTTCAGCTCCTTCTGTTGCAGTTTTCATTAAATATTTTATTATGCTTGTTTATAGGAGAAATTTTTAGAAAATACAATGCCCAGAAAAGAAGAAGAAAAAGAAAATCATAGTGTACTTCCAGAAATTCTTATTTTTCCCTGTGTTTTTTTCTTTTGACAGCAACAGGGGGTAAGGATCTTTGTTATGCTCTACAAAGAGGTGGAACTTGCCCTTGGAATCAATAGTGAATATAGCAAGAGGACTCTGATGCGTCTACACCCCAACATTAAGGTATTTGGGTCATCTTGCTGAAAAATGTTTCTTCTTTATTTTTCTACAGTTTTCAGATATGTTTTGTTTTGAGCAGTGGCAGTCTTTGGAATTCCCTCATGTATATTTTGAGTAAATAGTACTATTTCTGTAACAATAAATCAGATCAAAACTTTCCTCTAATGTCAAGTGTTTGGAGATATTCAAAGGTATATTTTTAGTATTTAAAGTTGCAGTTTCAACATTCTGGTTGTAATTAGTCAAATATTGACTCAGTATGCATAGAATGGAAAGGAGGTAGCTTTTTATTTTTTATATTTGTGTCTTAATCTACACATACATTTCAGCTCCTTCTGTTGCAGTTTTCATTAAATATTTTATTATGCTTGTTTATAGGAGAAATTTTTAGAAAATACAATGCCCAGAAAAGAAGAAGAAAAAGAAAATCATAGCATACTTCCAGAAATTCTTATTTTTCCCTGTGTTTTTTTCTTTTGACAGCAACAGGGGGTAAGGATCTTTGTTATGCTCTACAAAGAGGTGGAACTTGCCCTTGGAATCAATAGTGAATATAGCAAGAGGACTCTGATGCGTCTACACCCCAACATTAAGGTATTTGGGTCATCTTGCTGAAAAATGTTTCTTCTTTATTTTTCTACAGTTTTCAGATATGTTTTGTTTTGAGCAGTGGCAGTCTTTGGAATTCCCTCATGTATATTTTGAGTAAATAGTACTATGAACTTTATGGGCTTCCCAGGTGGCGCTACTGGTAAAGGATCCACCTTCCAGTGCAGGAGATGCAAGAGACATGGGTTCAGTCCCTGGGTCAGGAAGATCTCCCGGAGTAGGAAATGTCAACTCACTCCAGTATTCTTGCCTGGAAAATTCCATGGACAGAGGAGCCTGGTGGGCTATAGTCCATGGGGCTGCACAGAGTCAGACACGACTGAGCACACATACTTTCTTATATTTCTGATTTTGATGGGATCATCAGAGTCTTATTTTGCTTCTTTTACCCTGATCATTTAGCCAAGAACATTATTCCTAGAGTTGTTTTAATATTCAAGAGCCCCATCAAGTTTCCATACTCTTCATTAAGGTTATCCTGAAACCTCTAAGATGTGAACTCCCTGGGACATCCCTTGAATACTGATAGATAGAAAAAGAGCTCCTTTAGGATTTAAAGTGCTTTCCTTAAAAGCGCTTAGTAGAAAGTACTACTAAGGTGAATAAACATGATAAACAATTTGAAAAAAGCCATTTGATATTTTACGAAGGACCTGAAGCCTATCAGTAAATATTGCCCAGTTATTGAGATATTTCAAGACAATGAGTTAATAAATCTCTAGTAGGCTTAAAGTATATAATGATTATATATTTTTCTTGATTAAAAGAAGATAGTCTAAGTAAATAATAACCAAAAAAGGCAGAAGTGACTATACTAATATGGGTCAAAATAGACTTTAAATCAAAAAAGTTTACAGTAGACAAAGAAGGATATTATATATTAATAAAACTTTCAGTGCAGCAAGAAAATATAACAATTTTAAGTATTTACATACCTAATAATGACTGTCAAAATATATTATGCAAACATGGGCAAAATCAAAGGATGAAATAAAGCAGTTCTGTAATAGCTGGACACTTGAATATCACTGTCTCACTAGTGGGTTGGCATATACATGTCATGGAATATTATTCAGTCTTAAAAAGTAAGGAAATTCTGACATATGTTAAATCATGTGGATGAACCTTGAATACATTATTCTAAGTGAAATAAGCCAGTCATTAAAAGATAGATTTCTTTTACATGAGGTACCTACAGTAGTCAAATTCACAGAGACAAAAAGTAGATGGTAGTTGCCAGGTTTTGGGGGCTTTATTGTTTAATGAGTGGAGAGTTTCAGTTTTTGCAAAATGAAAAGTTCTGGAGATGGTTGTACAATATGAATATGCTTAATACCATTGCACTGTACACATAAAAAAGGTTAAAACCATAGCTTTTATGTTATGTGTATTTCACCACAATAAATAATGTTGTTAAACAATAAAATTGTCTTCAAAATTTTTGGTGTGTTTCTACTTAAAGACATACAAAAATAGGTCAGTCTGGGATCATTTAGAGAGAATTCTACTTGAAAGCAGGAGGTTAATAACTTCTCAAAGTACCTTTAAAATCAAGAGCTGCCAAAACATCTATATCCCTATATCATATACTTACTACTTCAACTCAATGACTACTAAAATAGCAATACACTTAGTAAAAGTTTTGTCAGAGATAGATGCTGGTTCAAAAGTTTTAGTGTTTTTTAAGTAATACCACATACAATGTAATTCTTTGGTGGGGGAAAGGGAATCTGCTCTCCCACTGAGTTGACTTTTATTGAAATATGTGGCCAAATTTCAACTGAATGGTAGCTTCCCACAAATGTGGGGGTCAAGAATGGGCAGAGGAGTCTTGAAAAGTGGGCAGGGGAGTCTTGAAAAGTAACAAGGGATCTTCCTCTGCTAAATACTGAGAATAAAATTAGAAGTTTGGGGATTCTCTTTGATGTATAGATATAGATAGCACATTTTCGTATTTGAATTGTAGGAAATGCTCTTCAAGGGTGTAAACAGACCTATTTTATTATAGTATGAAAGGGATTTTAGAAAGCATACTACATGTGTGGGTTTTTTTCCTCTCAAGGTGATGAGGCACCCGGATCACGTGTCATCCAGCGTATACCTGTGGGCTCATCATGAGAAACTCGTCATCATCGACCAGTCGGTGGCCTTTGTGGGTGGGATTGACCTGGCTTACGGGAGGTGGGATGACAACGAACACAGACTCACGGATGTGGGCAGCGTGAAGCGCGTCATCGGGGGACCGTCTCTGGGTTCCCTCACAGTTAGTAGATTTCATCTTTATGGAACTGCATAAAAGGGACACAGTTTGTATAAGTGTGTATTAAAAGCATGACTGGTTGGCTGATGGGTTGAATGAAAGGAGGCATATGACAGTTGAGTCCAACACAGACCTTGTTTCAAATACCACCTAAGGGGTCTGTTCGCCTCAGTTTATTCTCTTGTAAGAAAATGAAATAGATTCGATAAAGCATTTGCTATCTCATAGTCAGTTCCTTGGGTTTCCATTTAAATTAAAGATTTAATTCCTATTTGGGGAAAAAGAAGTTCATAAAAATGTGCAGCACAATTGGACTTTAAGTAAGCAGCGTTATTACAAGTTGCTGCCAAGGTTTTTGAAATTTTCCTTCTTACAGACATATGAAAACAGGATAAGTCAGTCTGGAGACATTTAGAGAATTCTGTTTGAAAGCAGGAGGTTAATAACTCCTCAAAGTACCTTTCAAATCAAGAACTGCCAAAATCTCTGTACGCCTATATTCATGTACTTATTATTTCAACTCAGATGGTTGCCAAAATATCAATACACTTATTAAAAATTTGATGGCCTCCATCTTATTTTTTTGCTGTATATGTTGGTGACTTTTCTGGGAAAATAGAGATTTAGTGGAAAGGTAAAGGGGGAAATAATTGACAGAAAAATCATCACTTGCTTAATGTTTATCAGTGAGTATAACTCATGTAATTATATCTGAAACTGAAAAGCTAATTGGCATAAAATTGCAAGCATTTGATGCAGTGAAAGAGGAACTGTAACGGACTTCCTGGTGTCCCTTTGAAAGTCTTTAAACAGCTCACAAGAGTCCCCCCACTGCCCTGCAGGTGACCTCACATACATTATTGTGTGTCTTTTAGGGAGCCAGCAACACGTGTAAACTTTAAACTAGAATTAAAAGGCCACATGGCAACATATATTATACAGTTTCTTTTCATTTCTCTTTATTTTTTTTTAATAATTTTCTCAGGCTGAAACAACAGAGTCTATGGAATCCTTATGCCTCAAAGATAAAAGCGAATCTGATAAAGATCTGCCCATCCTGAAGTCTCCGGATGATGCAAATTCAAAACTGAAAGGAATAGGAAAGCCCAGCAAGTTCTCCAAATTCAGTCTCTACAGGCAGCTGCACAGACACCATCTACATGACACAGACAGCATCAGCAGCATCGACAGCGCCTCCAGTAAGTCATCGTCTGTCCTGGAGTTTATCTCCACGACTCTGTTCCTCCATGGCCAGACACGGGACACCTGTTTGCAGAACCATGACACCTATAGTGGAGTCAAGCAAGCAATGCTTGAAAGTCATTATATCATCCTATTCAGTCTCATACCATTTTGGGGCTCTGTTTGACTCATTGTAGAGGAGATTTATTGTTTTATTCACATCAGTGCTCATAACACGCACAATTCATGCTTCTAATGGTCACAGAATGACTAAGCGTTTCTAAACTAATGCCAAATTATGGAGGAAAAGTATTAGGTGTACTTCATAAACTTGTCATAGCAGAGATTGCATTTCTCCTCCTGTCCAGAAATACATCAATCTTTTGTCCTCAAACATCAGATTGTCTACATCATGTACATTTGCTATTCTTTTCAGATTTGTCTTTAAAACACTACAGTTTCTGTGGCACAGAATTTGTGACTGATTTTATAGCCTTGCCTACTTTTAAAAATGATAGAACCTGCTTTCCGGTTTAGAAAACTTCATGTGTGTGTGTATATATTTATATATATATATATCTTTGTAAAAAAAGAACTCTCAACTTTCTCCAGGTTATTGTAATCACTGTAGGAGTCGTCAGAATTTAATCCATGGTTTAAAGCCCCACTTGAAACTCTTTCGCTCTTCCAGTGAGTCTGAGCAGGGGCTTACTAGACCTAACATTGGTAAGTGATATGTGAAGTGCCAGAATCTCCATAGGCTTCAGCTTTTGCTGCATGAGCAGAGTGACTGTGCTTCTGGATTGCCTCTCTGTCCTCACAGTTTTTACCCTGCACGTATTATTAGAAATGATGATCTGATAAGCTTTTGTAAGAACGAGGTACTCGAATAAATTAATCAGGGCCTAAAATGTGGTGGGAATGAAGAGAGATTTGGCAACAGATCAGATATAGGGACAAATAATGGGCATCCCAGGTGTCTCCAGTGGTAAAACACCCGTTTGCCAATGCAGAAGACATACGAGATGCGGGTTTGATCCTTGGGTTGGGAAGATCCCCTGGAGGAGAGTATGGCAACCCACTCCAGTATTCTTGCCTGGAGAATTCCATGGACAGAGAGGTCTGGCAGGCTACAGTCCATCGGGTCACAAAGAATTGGACACCACCGTAACGACTTAGCATGCATGCACACAATCATCATAGTAAATAGCAGCCGCAGTAAAATGTAAGATAGCTTTTATCATGTGCTGACTCTGCCCTCACTGCCGGGAACACTTGTGGTGCTTGCTTATAATAGTGTTATCTTCTTGTTACAAATGAAGGTTTAGAGATGATAAGTGACGTGCCCAGTGAAGTTCCATTTTCTCAGCCACCTAGAAATCATGAGTCAGATTTGTGATTTAGCAGAAATGCAGATGACCGAAGCAGGACCTTTTGGTTAAATTCTCAAGGCCACAGTTCTGTGTACTGTTTAGGAGATGACTGAGATGGAGCCCAGCAAGCACGGCTGGAAGTGCGTCACTTGTGGCTGTTAGGAGCTAATGACCCTGAACTCTAAGCTGGACCTTGGGCAGTGGTTCCAGCATTCTTTAGTCTGGGGACCCTGCAGTTGTTAAAGTGATTGACTGTTTATAGTGAACTAAAGCACCAATATAACTGTTAAATCCATTTGCATATCATAAATCGCAACAACACTGATACCATTAAAATATGGAGAAGAGCATATATGGGGAGACGTTTTATTGGTTTAGCATACAGCTAGTCCTCGATGCTTGTGTGGATTCAGGGAGAGCTCACAGTAACCCCTGTGCTCCGTAGAGTGGCATAGCCCTGAGACAGGGCACTGGGAAGTCCAGAGAGCCAGGTGAGGGATGGATGCAGGGGCAGACTTTAAAGATAAGGGTTACAAATAGGTCCAGATATTGCTTCGTAATTCCAGCATGTGGCTTTGCTGTGTTAGGACTGAAGTTAAGATGGAGCAATGAGGGGACTGAATGTTAGTATTGCTGACAACAGGATTGAAGGCAAGTAGAAAAGAAGATGCAAGCTGGGTGCAGAATATATTAAGTAATTCAGGCTGATAGCAGACTGAGGGGGTGATTCCCACAGTCATGAACTGGAGACAGCAATATGGTTGTTTTTAGGCATTGATGGAAATCCTCTCTTTAATAAACTGGATACACATCCAATGCAGTGTTTTGAGCAAAGTTGGACAGGGTTGAGTAGATTATAGAATTTTACCTTATCCTTTGAGTAGAAAAAGGAAGTCATCAGCTGGTCTTGAGCAAAGGCCAGGCAAGATCTGATGAACATTTTTTACAAGCTTATTCTTCAGAGCAGACAGGGGTGGCAGATCGTGACCAGGCAGGTACTGAATACATCCTGAAGTAGAGGTGACAGAGTGGACATGGACCAAGAGGACTCTTTCCATTAACTATGTTAAGTTACCGATTTAGCTTTTTAATATGAAAAAAATTTCACTTACTTAAAAAGCAAAGCCAAAGAATAGTTGAGTTCTTCTGGAGCAGTGCTTTACCAAGTCTATTCCTTAAATCCTGGTGTTTCTCAGGGAGCTTTGAGGATACTACTGAAGACCTGGGCCCCTCCTACTTTTATTGCTACCTGCTTCAACCAGAAAAATCCCACTTACATCATTTTATATATTGGACTGCCATGTGAATTTGTTTTGGGGGAAAAAAAACTAAGGTTCTACTATTAATGGAGAAGGAAGTTCAAAGATCACAGCTCTACATTTAAATCATGTAATGAATTAAACTTTATTGTCTTAATTCTGGGACTAGAAACCCAAATTAAGCATAGAGTGACTCTTCATCATAAGTTTGAAACTGAATGTTTGCTTGAGTTAATAACTTCCTTTCCTGAAAGTATGACCTGGGTTAGCTTCTCTGCAATGTTTCACTTGAATGCAAAAGGCCGCTCTGAATGGGGCTCCGAGTGAACCTTACTGGTGATGTGTGGAAATCCGTAGAGTGTGCACACAAGATCATTGCATGTTTTTAAGTAGAAAAAAGTGGAGTAAAATCAGCTCATCTTAAATGTAACTAGTAACTATGATAGATTTCTATAGTATATATTTTAACCCAAAATCAGTCCGCCATCCTCAAGATTTTTTTTCCCTCTCAAAATTATGTTGCAAGAGGAAGAATTTCAAACATGTTGTTTGCTTGATACAGTCATTTTTAAAGGGTTGAATTTTATTCTTTTTGTATTCAGTAATTGTTTGCTGATGATTTCCTGTTAAGCATGATTTAATAGATGACTAATGGGGAAGATAATTCTTGTCATTTAGTTGAGGCAAGTGTTTCAAACTCAGATATTTAATTATAAGGGAGAATGAATGGCAAGTCAAGTCATTTCTCAACTCCATTCTCAGGATGCAGTGGTACATTGTATAACACTTATTTTTGCTCTCAAAGAGCTTATTATATATTAAATAGTAGACAAGTGTTGGGATTAAATTTTTACTAACTTAGTGCCTTAGTGATTCAGCAGGGGGAAATATCCTACTGGCAAGATTTGGTTCTGCTTAGCTTTAGTGTTTCATTGGTTCTGAGGAGGACCCTGATTAATTTGCAGTGGTTTAGGCCATGACCAAAACCAAATTTGAATTATGAGCAGACTGAATTCAATTAGCAGCAATCTGAATTCAGTTCAAGATCATTTTCTGAAACTAAGAATTTGCTTTGTTTTTCTTTTCAAAACAGATTATTAGATGAAAGTTAAGTTTTAAACAAGTATATGTGTATATATGTAGAAATTTAGCCCAAAGTCTCTAAACTGATGAAAACAAATTTTATATATATTTTTAAATTTTACTTTGGAATTGACCTGCTATTTGTCTTCTCTTTATTCCCTTTTTATAGTTTTGTTTTTTTAATAAAGTGCCATGCTTACTATAAAGAGCCTATAGGTGAGCAAATAGATCTACCAGTACTTTGGCCTTTCAGTTTCAGAGAAAAGGAAAATAAATCACTAGGAGAAATGAATAGAATTCTAATTTTTAATATTATATAATTTTGTTCATTGTTAGTAGTTCAAGACATTTTTCTTTTACAGAAAATGTCAATAACTTTGGAGGTTAATTATTCAGTTTGAGATAGAATACTAGCAGAGTGCATCATGATTGTTTAAAAATTTTCACTCTGCAATTTATTTATTGATTGCCTACTGAATGCCAGGAGCTATACCAGGCACCGAAGGGATGCACTCCCCACCCCTGAGTTTATAGATGAGTGAGTGGCGAACAGGGAGGGACAGATGGGTCACAGAGTCAGGGCCCTGGGGTGCGCAACTATGAGTGGTTCCACAGCCTCTCCCTGCTGGGATACGGGGAATAGCTCTAGGACAGGTGACAGCTAATGTGGCTCTTGAAGGATGAGGAGGAGGTCAGACCAAGAGGGTGGGAAGAACATTCCAGGCTGAAGGAATCATGTGCTGGCTGCATGACAGACAAGGTCTGTCACAATCAGTGAGAACGGTGGTGTACCTGGGGCCTGGGTTGTGTGGGGAAAATGAGGATGAGAAAGAGAGATTGGCAGCAGTTTAAGGAGAGTTGTCTCTGCACACGAAACCCTGAGGTTTGACCCCCTATGGGCAAGTCATCCTAGAAGGCTTTTAAATAAGGAATCTGCATTTTTGGAAGTACACATCTGGGGCAGGGTGGTGGTAGGGGGACCAGTCCGGTATTCACTCTGACTTCTGTATGTGGTACCATTTATTCGTTCAACAAATGTTTTGCATCCAATGTCTGATGGTTAAGTGTCTCTTTTGTGCCAAGCGCTGCATTTTGTGATTTGTAGTTCTGCTAGTTTCCCTGCTTAGCTGTCTTTGTGATCAGCATATCCCATAAATGTACAAACTATTTAAGTCAACATATTTACCCTTAAGTAAAATGGTCCTGACACAGCTCTTTGTGAAATACTGCAGTAGATGCTGCTTTTGCACCCATGTGATTGTAAGCTTCTTCTATTGTTATGATATTTTATGGATGTCATTTATAATTATAGAAATATAGAATGTTAGAGCCCAAAAGATCTTAGATGGTAGCTGGGCCAAATTCTTCCTTTTGTACATAAAGGATTTCTGACCCAAAAGGGTGAAGCTCAGTGTCACTTAACTAGTCAATTCCAGGGCTAGAACACCGCTGTCTGCAAATTTGAGGTTCTTGCATTTTGAAATGCAAGAGACAAGCATTACACATTAGATGTGCACCATGTTGGTTGAGCAAAAAGAAGAACATGACTTCGTTATGGCCTCGGCATCTCATGTTCCTCCAGCAGACCTGGCTTTTCTGCTGTCTCCCAGCAACTTAACCCTGTGATCCATTCTGCCAGTGATCTGGTAGATGATGAGAATAAAACTGTTAAATTTCATTGTCAAATGATGAACCTGGTTACAGCCCCAACTACTCAGCCCACAGCCAGCCCACAGCCTCAGATGGAACGAACCCATGCCGCCCTTGTTATGAGGCTTAAGAAGAAAAGTTAGGAAGTGTTTAGGTGTTAAAGGATTTCTGACCCAAAAGGGTGAAGCTCAGTGTCACTTAACTAGTCAATTCCAGGGCTAGAACACCGCTGTCTGCAAATTTGAGGTTCTTGTATTTTGAAATGCAAGAGACAAGAATTACACATTAGATGTGTACCATATTGGTTGAGCAAAAAGAAGAACATGACTTCATTATGGCCTCGGCATCTCATGTTCCTCCAGCAGACCTGGCTTTACTGCTGTCTCCCAGCAACTTAACCCTGTGATCCATTCTGCCAGTGATCTGATAGATGATGAGAATAAAACTGTTAAATTTCATTGTCAAATGATGAACCTGGTTACAGCCCCAACTACTCAGCCCACAGCCAGCCCACAGCCAGCCCACAGCCTCAGATGGAACGAACCCATGCCGCCCTTGTTATGAGGCTTAAGAAGAAAAGTTAGGAAGTGTTTAGGTGTTAATAAATGAGAGGTGAGCCTCCCTCTCTGGGGCCCACCTGAACCACAGCCTTTGAGTGAGTCTTGCTGCATTTACAGACACAGCCTCCCTCCGAAGTGTACAGACACGTGTGGGAGAGCTCCATGGGGAAACCAGATTCTGGCACGGAAAAGACTACTGCAATTTCGTCTTCAAAGACTGGGTTCAACTCGATAAACCTTTTGCTGGTGAGTACCATGGTAGTGGGTGGCTGTGCATATTTTGTCTTTTCCTTGTTGGTATTTCAACAAGTATGCATGTGCATGATCTAATATCTTGTTTTGTTTTATTTTGTTTTGAACATTTGGTGAAACGTTGGAGACCATGATTTAGTCATATACTTAAGGGTTTTTCCTTGTGAATATAGTAAGAAAAGAAAATGAAATATAGCCTACTTGTTTGAAATCTCCAGGTTGCATATAGTCATATTTTAGGCCTCATAATCTGTAATTCTCCAGGAGATGTTTCCCTTCCTTTGATGATCTCCTTTTTTCTGTTTATCATCTTCATCTTCCAACATTAAAATAACACATTTCAGATCATCTAAGTGCTTGCACACTGAACAGGAACTAGAAATGGCAGTCCACATTAGCTTGACATTATTTCAACAGAGTAGAAGAGAAAAATGTAATATCACGTTTATATCTTTAGATAATTTGTACCAACTCACATCTGCCTTGCTCGGTGATTATCTAATCGTGGAATGAAAACTTCATATTGGGAGAGTGCATAGGGATACTATGTTCCTCAATGTGAGACCTATGCTTCCCTTGGCTATAAAGGTATTATTCTATCCAAGTCAAGAAATATACATATGGTGGACATCACCATGTTTTTTTTTTTTTTTTTATGTATCATAGTTGGGGTCAGAGCTAGGGTCAGATGGCTTGTGCTTTGTGGGCACAGAAGTTAGTCTGGATCCTTGCCTGGTGCACCTGGGCAGATTTCATTGACAGGCACTCCACCCCCCGGATGCCATGGCATGACATAGCCTCTGCAGTCCACGGGAAGGCAGCTCGCGACGTGGCCCGTCACTTCATCCAGCGCTGGAACTTCACGAAGGTACGTGGGTGGTTTTAGCATCATTCAGACAGGCCGGGAAGAGGAGGCATGAAGGGGCTGACGTGGCCACATCTGTGCCACTTTACCCACTGTTGAGTGGCTGGTTCTTAGAGCACCTGGGACTCTGGGCAAAAGAGGAAAAAAAAAAAAGTTCCTGAACTTTTCCTCCACAAATAATTCAGAGGGCAGAGGGATGGTGCTAACGTCACAGACTATGGTTTAACCATTAACCTGGGACTCCCAGTTTAAGCATCTTGGCTGGGTTGATAGTCACGTGGAGGGCTGCTGAGCTACTATAGCAGGAATGGGACCCTTGTTCATGTGACAGCTGCAGCTTTCAAGTCCTTGCAATCCTGGCATTGCCTGGAATCCATGTTGGCACAGGCTTCTGAGAGGCAGTTCTGAGCAAAGTGAGCAATATGAGAAGATGGAGCTACTTCTCTTTCCTCCAGATTTTGTCTTCTTTCATAAGATGCCTTCATTACTTATAAGAATTTGACCTAATACTCGTAAGTTAACTGCCTATCGTCTTGTTATTATTAAGATTCCCTTTTATTTATTTTAAATGGTGATGAGGCATTTCTTCCCTATAGTTTGGAGATAATTTGGGAAAAAATTTAGTTTTGTTAACTTAGAGTGTCACCTTATTTTCCACTTAATTTACATTATAAACAGTTAATGGGAGCTCTTAGAAATAGTGGAAATATTTTTAACAAGAATTTAGAGGTGAATGCAGGAATAAATAAAGGGATATTATTTTTAACCTATTGGACTGGCAAAGTTAAATACACTGCAGAAACCCACAATTGGATTCAGGATGTTTGATGCTCTTATACCCTACTCCTGGGAGGATAAACTGGTATAATTGCAAAAAAGTTTTAAAAGAATGTAACCTTTGACTCAGAAAATCAATTTCAGGTATTTAAGCTAAAGAAGTTATTCAGTAAGTAATTTATTTTGACATTGTATCTAATAATTCATATAAAATGAGAAATAACTGAAATCTTCATTAATAGAACTTTATTAAACAAATTATGATTGTTCCATGACATTTTACTGTGAAGTTGTTTTAAAAATAACCTATACCATTTATTGCTGTTAAGAGATACCGACAGCATAGTAAAAAAATCAGTTTATAAAATAATCCCATTTTGCAATTGTATACTTCTACAGCTCTAGGTTATATTTAACTTTTCTTTAAAAATACGAAGCAATAGCTCAATTGGGAAAGATCCTGCCTGCAATGCAGGAGACACTGGTTTGATTCCTGGATCAGGAAGATGCCCTGGAGAAGGGAGAGGCTACCCAGGCCAGTATTCTTGGGGCTTGCCTATTGGCTCAGCTGGTAAAGAATCTGCCTGCAATGTGGGAGACCTGGGTTCTATCCCTGGGTTGGGAAGATCCCCTGGAGAAGGGAATGGCTACCCACTCCAGTATTCTGGCCTGGAGAATTCCATGGACTGTATAGTCCATGGGGTTGCAATGAGTTGAACGTTGACTTTCACTTTCAGTGCTCACTCCAAAAGGTAAAAGAAGGAACAAAGGAGTTTTCTGCCTCTGAGAAATAGAAAACATAAATAAATAATCTGTTGTCTCTTCAGCTAGAAACACCCACTGTTAATATTTATTTTTCTTTTTCAAATGAACCTGTATATCTTTTAGAACCACAAAGTAGGGAAGACCAGAATTATTTTTTCATCTGAATCTTTTTTACCTGTTTCTCTTTATTTTAGATTATGAAACCAAAATATCGGTCCCTTTCTTATCCTTTTCTGCTACCAAAATCTCAAACAACAGCCCACGAGTTGAAATACCAAGTGCCTGGGTCTGTCCATGCTAATGTACAGGTAAGTTTGGGTTTTGTTTTTCACGAAATGCTACTGAGTACAATCATTCATATGGACTAAATGCCTATTGGCTTTAAGTTTTTTAAAGCAGACGACTCCAGAACAAATCTGAATAGACCTTTTAAAATTTAGTATTATATTTTCAATTTTAAATATATTCAATTTATCTTTTTTTTTCAATTTATCCTCTTTTTAAAACTCTTATATAAATGTAATAAATACATGTCTTTAGAAAAAGCCAGTCAAGGAGTGGCTTGTCTTTTAAGTCCTTCTGAATTGACTCTAGCAACATGATACCTCGTAACCCTGGGACTGATACTAGTGAAGTACCAGGAATTTGGTTGAAACTTAGCATCTTGGAAGCTATAGTTCAACGTAATTTTAGTTCCTTAATTAACCAAATACCTCTTAGAGGCACTTTTAAAAGGATGAGAAGTTTGCTTATTAGAGGCGCAAAATTCGACCACATGAAGTCCAACGTTCTCAAATTACAAATAAGAAAATTAAAGCCCAGTGAAAATTTGAGACTTGCTCAAGGTCATTGAGGGTTTTCAGTAGAGCTGGAGCTTGAAATCCTAGTCCTGTCCATTGTTACCCAATCTGCTTCCTGGACCAACTCCAGCTCAAATATCTTGAGATCACGCAGGGACAGACCTAGGGTTGGCCACCTTGGCATTGCCTTTTGTTCAATGTCATCACCATCTGCATCAAAAGTATTGTTTAAGTACAGAACAGATTGGTGTTTGCCAGAGGCAAAGGGTGGAGTGGGAGGGGTTGAGAAGTGGGTGACAGTGGTCAAAAGTACAGACTTCCAGTTTTACTCTGAATTAAAAGTCCTCGGGATGTACTGTACAACGTGGTGACTGTCGTTAACAACACTGTGTTGTTTGACAGTTGCTAAGGGAGTACAGGGCTTCCCCGGTGGCTCAGATGATGAAGAACCCACCTGCAATGCAGGAGCTGCTGCTGCTGCTTAATCGCTTCAGTTATGTCTGACCCTGCAACCCCATGGACTGTAGCCTGCCAGGCCCCTCTGTCCATGGGATCCTCTAGGCAAGAACACTGGAGTGGGTTGCCATGCCCTCCTCCTGGGGCTCTTCCCAACCCAGGGCTCAAACCTGGGTCTCCTGCATCGCAGGCAGATTCTTTACCGCCTAGCCACCAGGGAAGACCGCAGTGCAGAACCAGGTTCGATCCCTGGGTTGAGAAGATCCCCTGGAGAAGGGCATGGCAACCCACTCCAGTGTTCTTGCCTAGAGGATCCCATGGACAGAGGGGCCTGGCAGGCTACAGTCCATGGGGTTACAATGAGTGAGACACAGCCAAGGGTGGGAAAAAAGTTACCTATAAGATAAAATAGGAGCCTTGATATTAAGAAAACAAGAGAGTTTAATTTAATATTTGAGATGGCATTAAAATTGGCTCAGTGATCAACTTACCAAAGTTAGCAGATACTAATTAAGCAGCTGTTGAAAATAGAATGCTGGGCATTGTGTATTTTTATGATTAGCAGAAGATGTTATATCCTAGTGTTTGCATATACATATGTCTTCTGATGCCTTTGGTGCAAGCCCTGTTTTACATATTGTCATCCTGCTGCCCTGATGAGACAGACAGATGATCTGCCTGTCCATCCTACCAAGCGCCTGCCCTGGTTCACCTTCTCTGTATCATGGGATGTTGTGGTAGAAATGGAGCTAGATCAGTGACCTCTTCTTATATACTCATATGTTCATCCCTGAGTGCCCAGGCAGCCTGGAGTTTACCAAGGCTGACTCATTAATCACTGACTCATTAATTCATTTACTCAGTCAGTCTATGCCTTTCAAGGGCCATCTTTTTGTACAGCCAGATCATCAGTGCACACCTGGATACCGAGGAAGGAGACAAAAGGAGTTCTTTGCCTCCTGTTGGAAAAGAGTTAGCCGGGAGAGAGAAAGCTCTAACGTTAAAGAACTGAGTTAACAAGGCGAGTTGTGGTTTAGGACAAATGCAAGTCTTGAGAATGCAGACCAGTGTGGCGTGAGCGGTTGGTGAATGGGAGGGACAGAGCTGGGTACCCCCTCTAAAGAATAAGAGTGGGTACCCCCCACTACAGCAAACCATTTGCTCTTGAAGAGGTAGTAAATAAGGCTCAGAGAGCACATGGCCAGATTGGGAGTGCCCTGAAGTGTTGGTCTTGTTCATTTCAACCTGATCATGGAGGAATTATTGAACTGTGGGCTTTTTTTGGTCATCTGAGAGGAAACATGATATATGAATGTTTTATGAAGGCAGAGGATGAGATGGTTGGATGGCATCACCGACTCTATGGACATGAATTTGTGTAAGCTCCAGGAGTTGACGATGGACAGGGAAGTCTGGTGTGCTGCAGTCCACGGGGTTGCAAAGAGTCAGACACAACTGAGTGACTGAACTGAACTGAACCTAGATCAGAGTTTCCCAAATTGGGTTTTGCCTGTAAAATGCTAGTAGCTATTCCACAAAAAAAGGTTTCCATGGACAGATAAGTTTTTGCAGATTTTTAAAATAAGACTTCTCAGTGCCTTTGTGATGCTGGTGTGTACATCATGGAATCACTAAGACCAAATATATTATGTGCATTTCCCAAGCTTAACTGATGTAGGGTCTCTCATTTGTGACATGTCTATTTCAATTTTTCCAAACAAACACACTTTGAGACCTAAAATTTATACATGTGAAAACGTACAATACTAGAAAGAGAATGAAAACAAGGAGACAAGTAAAGAGATTGCTATAATAAATCCTAGAATACACTAATTTTGCATTTATAAACTGGTATTCTTTTTCTTAAAGAAGATTCCTCCATCGTGTAAAAGCTTTAGACCTCACAAAACATCCACTGGTTGCCAGTAGATGTTTTCGGAACTGCCAAAATAACTCCAGTTGTGAAAACAGTGGGTATGGCCAGACAAGTGTGTCTTTTTGAAGACAGGAAAATCTGAGAGGACCAGATGCTGAGGGAAAGGAAGGAAATTATACTGCTCCTTTTCTGTAAAGTTCTGACCACAGCACTGTTTCACTTCACATTACTTACCGGCTGTAAACATTATTCGACTTGTTCTAGACATTGTTGTCAAGTTATGAACGTCTAGTGCTTAGAGGTTGAAGACAATAGCCTAGTCCAATCCTTGGTTTTCCAGAGAATCCAGAAGATAGCAGGGAGTTAGGACCTGGCTATGTAGGAGGCTACTTAATTTTTAAAGAATCTGTTGTGATATTTTCAAACCTCTCTCTCTCTCAGCTACCATGTGGCAATAGACAAATGACTATTTGAAAAATTTAATAAAATTCTTCCTTAGGTTTATTCTTTTTAACATTGATTTTAACATAGTTTTTTTTTTAACATAGTTTGTTGTTCATAATGTAGTTTAGAGACCACAAGCTTACATAACTGAAAAGGAGTGATGTAATACAGCAAGGGGAAGGGGCAGATTCTAGAGTCAGACTGTATTCAAGTTTCTGTTTCACTGCATATGAGCTGTATAACCTTGGGACAATTATTTCACCTCTCTGAATGCATTTCCTTCATCTTTAAAACAGAGATCAGAATAGTACCTGTTTCATAGGGTTGAGGTGATAGTTAAAGAAATTAATCCATGCAAATCAGCTAGAAGAATATATTTGTTTGAACTATGTCAGTATTAGCTACAACCTTCAGGCATTCCCTAGTGTTTTCAAAAGTTTGCAGTGAAGAAGTTGACATTTCTCTGGCTGGGTCACAGTGTAGTTCTGGATACAAAAATCTTTATACTGTTTGTACTATATATGTTGAAATGGAGAAAAAGAACATTGGATACAATAAGGTAAAGAAATTCATGCTGCTCTTTCATCTGCAGAAGAGAACCCAGTTATTTGATTTTTTAACACAAAAATGTTAAGGCCAATCACCCTGAGGCACATACTACTGGTAATTCCAGCTGTTGGAGAAGACTGACACAGCCAGCCAAGGGGACTAGAGCTCCAGCAGGCAGAATGGAGACCTGCCCCCACCAGCATAAATTTCTGCTTCTAAAAAAAGTCCTGAGATCTGACTTCAGCTACTTCCACTGACACTTAAATAATCTCGGTTGTTTCCCCTCAGTGCTGTGTGTTCCCAAAGCTTGCCAAGAGCACCTGGACAAGACATAGCAGAAAAAAGGCATGGGGAGGCGGGTGGGAGGAAAGATGATTCTGAAACTGCTTATGCACAGAGTTTATAAAAAGAACTTGTTTTCTCCCTAAAAAGAACAAAATAGGTCCCTGAATGCTATCATTGCCGTTTATAATAAATGACCAAGACAGAAGACATCTGACCTGTCTATTAAGATAAAAGAAAGTGCTTGATGCCAAATTAGCATCAATGTGGAATCGATACATGGAATAATACCTTTTATTAAATTGGGCAGCTTATAGTAGAAGAGTCATTTCTTAGACAGTCATTGCCAAGAAGTCCTACGAAAGTGAGGGAAATAATCCACTAGAGCCATGTCTTCAATCTCTCTATTAAAAGAAAAGAAAAAATATATGCAGGCAAATGTAAATGGCATTCCAATTATATGACTGGAAGAATTTGCTCTTCCACTTGGGGAAAATGTCCAAATGACACTCCAAAGGATGTCAGTGTAGGAATCAATGTTTCAAAGAACAGCAAAATGTTTTGTATGCTGATAGAACAAAGTAGATACTAGGAAAGAGGGGAAAATAGCCACTTGACATTTCAAAGGAGGTTTCTTAACCTGGAAGCTGTTTTCCATTTACAGATCGGGTCCTCATATGGTAAGACGTCTGTGCGTGTCGCTGTGGGTCTTGGCTGGCTGAAGCCACATGAACGGGGAATGTTTACCCTTGTCCAGCATTGCACTGATTTGTGGATTATCTCATTTCATACTTACCAGTCTATAAATTGTGTTCTCTTTGACCCCTTATTTTTACATATGAGGAGACTTAAGGCTTTGAGAGGTTAAAATAACACAGTGAGTAATGGAGAGGATGAGACTGGATTTTTAGCAGTCTGACTCCAGAGCCCGAGGCCATAGCTGCTCAGCAGAGAGACTGTCTCCGTTAAGCCCCAAGATGGTTGCAACCGCCAAGGGCCCCAGCAAGGCAAAGCTGCATGGCATGCTTGCCTTTTGAGATCATCCTTTGTGGCTGACCCAAATTCAGCCCCAGTTCTCCTTTTGCTTCATTCTGGCTTCCAAGAGCCCTCAACTATATATTTTTTCCTAGGACTTCTCTCCCCTTAAGTCTTGTTCTTCAAAAAGTATATTCTCTTCCATCCCTTCACCCTCAACTTTAACTTTTCACTATTGCTTAGGTCAAAGGATCATCCTATTGGAATAATGACATACTGTGATGTGTGTGTTGATGACACTTGACTATAGGTGAATGGTTCTTAGAAGGAGGAACTTGAAATTCCCTGTGATCCAGTGGCTAGGACTCCATACTTTCACTGCAGAGGTCCCAGGTTCAATTCCTGGTCAGAGAACTAAGATTCCACAAGCTGCACAGCATGGCCAAAAAATGGAAGAATTTGGTAGTCTGAGGAAGATTCTTGAACACAGTCGTTTTCTGCAGTTTCTTGCCTGCAGTGCTTCTCAATACAGACTGGAAGAATGAGGCTCAATAATCTGATCACTTATTTTCTCTTCCTGACCCATGCCACTTGTGAGCTGCAGCATGGAGGCCAACTTCAGTATGAAAGACAAAAAAAAAAAACGTACTTTGTTCTGTGATTGACTTGGGAGCTCAGAGAAATAAAAAGGAATTAAAATATGTACTGGATTTTTAGGGAATAAAAGCATTACAGTAAGAGAACAGGAACTAGGGACAAATACAAAGAAAGTTTTGAAAGTTTTCCTTCAAGAAGAGATTTCTGCATTTTAATCCACATATTCAGCTTAGGCCCACTACATGTAAGGGGTTTAGAGCTTATGGATAAAGAGAAGGTTATCCTTTAAGTCAAGAAATAGAAGATAGTACAAAGGAAAATGACTGGTTCTAGTTACAATCTTGAAGCTAAAGCACAGAATTAGAAGTATGTCCTTTATAAAAAAAAGGGCATACGTGTACTTTAAAGTTGTGTATTCAAACTTGAGATTTGAAAAGCATGGGTTAGATATGATTCTCAATATACTTGGGGCAACAAGATAAGCCACATTTCTGTGTATGTGAGGGGGAGTTTGAGGTTTGTCTCAGTTACATTGGTTTGAAACAAATGTTAAGACAAGTTGGTCAGGTCAGTTAAAAAAGAAGTGAGTAAATTGTAAATTTAAAACAAAAGTAAGTCAATCAAAATGTCTGGTTTTCTGGCTAGATTTGTTTACAAATTTTCTAGATTATCAATCATTTAAAGCAGTTGAGTTGGTTTGTACATAACTGTAGGGCTCCTGGTTTAGTGGTAAAAGAGAAATTCATATTTTTAATTATCTTATGGTGAAAGACAGATTTTAGCTAATCAAAATCATAATAAATGAGTAATAGTCTCAAGTAATTTTTTTCTGTATTACTTGAAGAATATGTTCAAGTTTAACCAAAAATGATGACTTTTTTAAGTTAAATGAGTTTTCATTTTGAGAAAATGATACAGATTTGGATTCAGACAATAAGACACAAGGTGCTAAACCTGCTTAGGGTGTAAGTAACCATCTACCTTGTATGGTTTTATAGGCATCAGGGGTGGGGCTTCCCTCTACTTTATTTATGCTCTCCCGCGGGCTAATGACAAAATGGTCTTCTTTTGGCTTACAAATGTACTTATTATAAACATTTAACTGCTTCTAAAAAGGAAAACATTTACCATTATCCTTCACAGGAAAGATGGCAGATATGTGACCTTCGTGCTTTCCCTCCTGGCTGCCATTTGCCATTAGGCCAGATTTCTTCCCCCATGTGTCAAGTTCCAAAAATCCACTTTTCAACATAGCTGTCCAGGAAGCCCCTTGGAACCAATTAGACTTGACCTTTAAGTTGACCCTTGCTCGACACTCCTGATTTATATCTTATGTGAATGTGTTTATTAAATCTTTGAAGGAACATATTTTTGAAACTGAGAAAGTAAAGAAAGTGTAAGGTGTTTGGATATGAGGGCAAGACTAAGACATTACCACCAAGGGTGGTCTATAAACTTTGCTCATAACATTTTAGGATGGAGGGGTGTGTGTGTGTGTGTGTGTGTGTGAGTCATTCAGTCATGTCTGAGTCTGTGAGCCCATGGACTGTAGCCTGTCAGGTTCTTCCATCCATGGGATTTCCCAGGCAAGAATACTACAATGGATTGCCATTCCTTTCTCCAGGGGATCTTCCCAACCCAGGGATTGAACCCCAGTCTCCCATATTGCAGGTAGATTCTTTACCATCTAAGCCACCAGGGAAGCCTTTAGAAAGGTAGATCTACCATATATCAAATATCTACTGTGTGCTGTGTAAGAGTGCTTGGTGTTTGTCTTGCCATTTTTTTTTTCTTTACAGCAGTTCTGTATGGGAGTGTGTGGGTGGACAGGTGTGTATGTATGAGAGAAAGAGACAAACAGGGACAGACAGAGCTGTCTCAAGTGTTCAAAAGAGGAAATCAAGCCTCCATGATATCAAAATGACTTGTTCAAGGTGAAAGACCTAGTAAGTTCAGAGCAATAGTGCAGGCCTCAAGTGTTCCTACCTTTCCAGTACACGCTGCAGGTATACACATTGTGGACAAAGTAATGTAGAATTGTATCAGGATGTGTGGCCAAAGAATCTGCTCAAGATGACCTGCATTTTCAGAGCCATGCACCTTAGCAACAAAATTCAACATAAATTTGAGTGGACAAAGAGTTGAAACCTCTTTTTTTTTTAACCTTTGTTGTTTATGCTGATGAACAGTAATGCAGTTCCCTGAAGATTATGTGAATCAAGATACTTTCCTGGTGTGCATTATATTTATCTAAGTTTTGCTTGTAAGTTTCCTTCTGAGATATTTGACTATTCTTGTTCATAGTTAAATTTTCTAATTTCATTACACATACTCATCAGATAGCATTGAGTAAAATGCTTTTTGGGGAGCTATATTATAATAAATACTTCATAATGAATAAGGAAATAGCATTCTGAGAATGGCACAATCAGTTTTAGTATTAGATTTGGATTTCAGTAGTCTTATATCAGTATGTGCAATTTTTAAAGTTAGTGATTAAAGCAAGAATTTTACCGGACCTTTTATTTGTAATAGACATAAAACTGATTTTGTATTGGATCATTTTATAAATTTCTAATAAGTATGGGTTATTTTATTTTTAATTTCAGTTGACCTCATGAGGAACAGTTTCAGTACTTATTTCAAATTAGGATTAATGAATATATTTTTATAGTGATTCTTCTATGATAACATTCTATTGCTTAAGGAAAGTCAGGTAATAAGTATTTATTGAGCACCTACTATATGCCCAACAGTATACTGAAACACTGGTTAGAATGCTGTAAAAAGTTACAACCAATGGATTCTTAGTGTTGAAAAAGCCTTCCATGTGGCCAGACTGTAGCATAGCTATAGTCAGAAGCATCTATGGAATGATCTGCTACAGCTCAAATGCATCCTCTAAGGTTCTCATTAATAACAACAAACACTTATGTACCACTTACTAGGTGCTCAGCCTCCTTCTGCAAACTGCATAGTAATTTTCTGAATCCTCTTACAACCTTGCAAAGTGGACACTCAGTTTTATAGAACAAATTTGAGGCACAAAGAGATTAAGGAACTTGACCAAGATGAAAGCTGCTAGGTGGTTGAGCTAAACTTTGAACCCAGGCGGTCTCACTGTGCATCCATGTATTTACCATATATTAGATGTCTGAGCTGGAAGCTCTTGTTGTAATCCAAGTGGGAGCAGGTGAGTGTCTGAAGAGAGGGAGGCAGTATAAATGAGAAACTTGATAGTTGAAGTGACACATCAAGGATCAGACAGTTAACTAAAATCAAATTAGAATCAAGGTTAGATGTCTAAATGAATCTATTTGTATTTTAGAATGTATTATTCTGAAATTTGCCGACAAAGATCTGTATAGTCAAAGCTATGGTTTTTCCAGTAGTCATGTACAAATGTGAGAGTTGAACCATAAAGAAGGCTGAATGCCAAAGAATTGATGCTTTTGTACTGTGATACTGGAGAATACTCTTGAGACTCCCTTGAACAGCAAGGAGACCAAACCAGTCAATCCTAAAAGAAATCAACCCTTTAGGAATATTCACTGGAAGGACTGATGCTGAGGCTGAAGTGACAATACTTTGGCCACCTGATGTGAAGAGCTGACTCACTGGAAAAGATTGGGAAACAACCTGATCCTGGGAAAGGCTGAGTACAGGAGTAGAAAGGGGTGTCAGAGGATGAGATGGTTGGATGGCATCACTGACTCAATGGACATGAGTTTGAGCAAAGTCCAGGAGACAACGAAGGACAGGGAAGCCTGGTGTGCTGCAGTCCATGGGGTCATGAAGAGTCGGACATGACTTAGCAAATGAACAACAGCAGTTCTGAACAGTGTATATTTGAGGGAAAAGAGTAATCACATTATCAAGTCCGAGCTAGGGTGACCATATCATATGAATCAAACCAGGACACTTTTGAGAATAAAATTGTTATTAATACACCAGGATTCTGGTATAATTGTGGGGCCATCGTGGAATGAAGAGTACAAATGGTCACCCACTTCACAGCCACCAAAAGAGGTGCTTCTGAAATGCTCCTTTTAGAAACCACAACCTCTTGATTTCCAGTCATGAATGCAAATCATCCTGGGTGGAAGAGCATATATTTAGGACTGGATTTCCAGCTGGGCTTCTTTATTGTGGGTTGTATCTAAGGACCAGTTCCCTATCCACCGTCTCTTCCTCAGTGCACACATGTCACTCAAGCCACTGTAATCAATAAGTTGTTTGGAAGAAAAAAGGTGGACTTCATTGTGTTAATTCCTCTGGCATCATCTCCATTGTCTTACATCTGCTCATTTCTGATTGCTGCCTTACAGTTACTCCGCTCTGCCGCTGATTGGTCTGCTGGTATCAAGTACCATGAAGAATCCATCCATGCTGCTTACGTCTATGTGATAGAGAACAGCAAGCACTATATCTATATAGAAGTAAGTTTATGTATTTATTTGGCTGAACTGGGTCTTAGTTGTGGCATGTGGGACCTTGGTTGTATGATGTGGTATCTTTTTGTTGTGGCACATGGACTTTCTAGGTGTGATGCACAAGCTCTGTAGTTGTGGCACACAGGCTGCAGAATGTCTGGGCTCATAAATTGCAGCCCACGGGCTCACTTGCTCCATGGTATGTGGGACCTTAGTTGCCCGACCAGGGATTGGGACTTGCATCCCCTGCATTTTAAGGTGGATTCTTAGCTTCTGGACCACCAGTGAAATCCCTAGAAGTAAGTCTTGCTGGTTAAATTGGTATGACAATCTGCCTCCCTGTAATATCACACAGAGTGCAGGGTCCCCACTCAGGACTTGCTCCATGAATGAGTGCATGTTAAGATGTGAAGAGGTCACCTGAAATTTGACTTCCCTGGCATACCTGACATTCACTCTGCATTTTCATTAACTTGGGACTCTAATAGAAATTCCCCAAGTCCTTATTATCAGAATGTATCCATTTGTAATGTTATTAGCCAGAAATATCCCACCATGGAGATGTAAGTTTTGGTCTGGCTTGAGTTGGAGGGTGTAAATATGAGGCGTGTGCTGCTTCAGGAGAGCACACACAGGGGTAAGCCGTTAACCCGTTAACATAGAGACCACTGGATACCATAGTTCAGGGATGTTGGAGCGGGGAGAGGCAGGAAAAGGAACATGGAAAAGGGAGAAGTAAGAATATTGAGGGCAGGTACCACCTTGTTCAATTCCATGTCAACTACTATTCGTTATAAAGGTTTTGCAGATCCCAGAGTTTGTGTGTATAGAATAGGAGGAAAAAGAGAGAGAGAGAATAGGAGAAAATCTGCAGGTACTAGTTTGGGAATCTTAATTGTACTTCAAAGTAGATCTGAAGACAGCTCTGAACATTTGAAATAGCCTTTAAAAATAAAATGTCATGACCATGGAAAAATAGCTCAGAGCACATCTATCCTTTTTATTTTAGTCTTTTCTTTCCCACTGAATTTTTAAATATATGTGGTGAGGGACTTCCCTGGCAGTCCAGTGGTTAAGACTTCGCTTTGCAATGCAGGAGTTGTGGGCTCCATCCATGGTTGAGGAGCTAAGATCTCACATGCCCTCATGGCCAGAGAACCAAAACATAAAACAGAAGCAATATTGTAACAAATTCAATAAAGAGATGAGGTTGCTGGGGAAAAACATTCTAGCCCCACTTTCCTTCTCCTTGTGTCCTAGCCCTTCCTTTCCATGAAGTAACAGTTCATTAAAGGCAAGTGGGAAAGAATTAGAGTTTAATTTATTTCATAGGCCTAAAGAAAGAGAATTCTGATAAAAAATATTATCAGGCTACATTTAGCATGGTATGGGATCATACAACAGAAAATGGGCATTAGTGGAAAAATTAGTAAAATCTGAATAAAGTCTAGAGTTTAATAAAACTAATACTGTTAGTATTATAATTTTAACAATTGTCCAATAATAATGCAAGATGTTAATAGCTGGTTCATCCATTGTCCTGCATCCTTTTACTTTGTCTCTTTTTCATAGATTAAATAAATCTGCTTTCTTTTTAATGTTACCATGGCAGTAAACAAGGTCAGTAATGCCATGTGGTTGCACATGGCTACGGACATAAACTTGATTGAAATGCCTGTAGCCAAAGTAAGCGGTTGGCATTCACCCTCCTGTGTCCAAAAAAGGAGAAGTTGAAGGACGTGAGTGTGTTACAGCTGCTGAGGAATGCTAAGCTTCTCTGTGATAGGAATTCAGAAGAACAAACATGGTTTGGTAGCCCCTGAGATTTTGATTGTTTGCTGCCCTAAAGGGGAAACATATTCTCAAATGAGTTTTTGAGCAAAGACTTCTTCTAAGTTTGTCTTTTGGAAACTGTTAACAGATTTATGCACTGAAGTTTAAAAGCTTGTGCAATAGTAAAAATGATAATGTGGCCAAAGGATAATAATCCTATTTTGAGTTATTGCCTATTTAACAGTTTATCTTAAGATGATTAGCAGAGGTTACTCTGTGATGACTATACTTATAAATTACAGGTGTGTTAAAACAATTTGTATAGTAAATAGAATATGTAATATTCATAATATTTGTACCTAATTTTCAACAATCCTTTATGCAAAAGCTAAATCTTTCATGCCATTATAATAATAATCTTGTACCTGGTTTTTTTTTTTAGTAACAGTTTTAAATAATGATGCATGAATTTATAAGCAGAAGTACTTAAAGCAAAAAGAAAGAAAATTATTTCTCCTTCCATCTTATTGATTGATTTATATAGTACAACATACTTGTAAGAGAGGTTTATAACTACTTAAAATAGAAGTTCAGGAATAGTAAGAAACCTAAACAAATGTGATAAGGCCAAAGCAGATAATAGGAAATAGTGAAGAAAATTAAACCAGGATTCTGCCATCTACCCTGTTCAGAAAGTAAACTTAGCATGAGATAGATGTTTGCCAATATAAGATTTTTAATCATAAGCATCTACACAGTGTGTCTGGAAACCCTGATTTCCCTATTAAGTTCAGAATGTTCCTACCATTCTAAGAACGTAATCTACAAGGAATTTGCATAATTACACAATTGTTTAGCTTTCTACCTGACTCAGATGATATGTTGCTGTTGTTCAGTCACTAAGTAGTTTGTCCGACTCTTTGTGACCCCATGCACTGCAGCACACCAGGCTCCCGTGTCCTTCACTATCACCTGGAGCTTGCTCAAACTCATGTCCATTGAGTCAGTGATGCCATCCAACCATCCCATCCTCTGTTGCCCCTTCTCCTCCTGCCATCAATCTTTCCCAGCACAGGGTCTTTTCCAATAAGTTGGCACTTTGCATCAGGTAGCCAAAGTATTGGGGCTTCACCTTCAGCATCAGACCTTCCAATGAATATTCAGGGTTGATTTCCTTTAGGATTGACTAGTTTGATCACCTTGCTGTCTAAGGGACTCTCAAGAGTCTTGTCCAGCATCCAGTTCGAAATCAATATTTTGGTGCTCAGCCTTCTTTATGGTCCAACTCTCATATTTGTATGTGACTACTGGAAAAACCATAGCTTTGACTAGACAGACGTTTTTCAGCAAGGTGATATTTCTGCTTTTTAATACTCAGTCTCTAAGTTTCTCACAGCTTTTCTTCCAAGGAGTAAATGTCTTTTAACTTCATGGCTGCAGCCACCATCTGCAGTGATTTTGGAGTTCAAGAAAATAAAATCTGTCAGTGTGTCCACTTTTTCCCCATCTATTTGCCATGAAGTAATGGGACTGAATGTCATGATCTTAATTTTCTGAATGTTGAGTTTCAAGCCAGCTTTTTCACTCTTCCCTTTCACCCTCATCAAGAGGCTCTTAGTTCGTCTTTGCTTTCTGACATTAGAGTGGTATCGTCTAGAGAATGGTGCACCAGAGGATGAGTCAGTTGGATGGCATCAATGATTCAATGGAAATGAGTTTGAGCAAACACCAGGAGATGGTGAAAGACAGGGAAACTTGATATGCTGCAGTCCTCATGGGGTCACAAGGGTTGGACAAGACTTAGTGACTGAAAAACAACAACAATAAATTTGCATATCTGAGGTTGTTGATGTTTCTCCCAGCAATCTTGATTCCAGCTTGTGAGTCTTCCAGCCTGGCATTTTGAATGATGTACTCTGCATACACGTTAAATAAGCAAGGTGATAATATACAGCCTTGACCTACTCCTTTACCAATTTTGAACCAGTCCATTGTTCCATGTCCAGTTCTAACTGTTGCTTTTTGACCTGCATACAGGTTTCTCAGGAGATAGGTAAGGTGATCTGGTATACCCATCTCTTTCAGAATTTTTCAGTTTGTTGTGATCCACACAGTCAAAGGCTTTAGCCTAGTCAATGAAGCCAAAGTGGGTATTTTTCTGGAATCCCCTTGCTTTATCTATAATCCAATGGATATTGGAAATTTGGTCTGTGGTTCCTCTGCCTTTTCGAAATCCAGTGTGTACGTCTGGGAGTTCTTGGCTCATGTACTGTTGAAGCCTAGCTTGAAGGAGTTGAGCATTACCTTGTTGGCATGTGAAGTAAGCCCAATTTTATGGTAGTTTGAACATTCTTTGGCATTGCCTTTCTTTGGGATTGGAATGAGAACTGACCTTTCCCAGTCCTGTGGCCACTGCTGAGTTTTCCAAATTTGCTGGCTTTTTGAGCACTTTCACAGCATCATCTTTTAGGATTTGAAATAGCTCAGCTGGAATTCCATCACCTCTACCAGTTTTGCTCATAGTAATGTTTCCTAATGCCCACTTGACTTCATACTGCAGGATGTCTGGCTGTAGGTGTGACTACACCATCATGGTTATCTGGGTCATTAAGATGTTTTTTATTAGTTCTTCTGTGTATTCTTCCCACCTCTTTATAATCTCTTCTGCTTCTGTTAGGTCCTTGCTGTTTCTGTCCTTTATTGTGCCCATCTTTGCCTGAACTATTCCCTTGGTATCTCCAATTTTCTTGAAGAGAAATGAGTCTTTCCATTCTATTATTTTTCTGTATTTCTTTGCATTGTTCACTTAAGAAGGCTTTCTTATCTCTCCTTGCTGTTCTCTGGAACTCTGCATTTAGTTGGATATATCTTTCCCTTTCTCCTTTGCCTTTCGCTTCTCTTTTTTTCTGAGCTATTTGTAAGGCCTCCTCAGATAACCATTTTGCCTNTTTATGTGCAGACATGTTTTCTTTACTTTAGGGGTAAAATTACTGGATCATATGGTAACTCTTATGTTTAACATTTTAAGGAACTGTCAGAATGTTTTCAGAAGTGGCAACACTATTTTACATTCCCATAGTATATGAGGTTTCCAATTTTTCTGTATCATTACTAATAGTTACAATTATCTTTCTTTTTGACTATAGTCATCCTAGTAGGTGTAAAATGGCATCTCATGTAGTTTTGATTTGAATTTTCCTGGTGACTGATAATACTGAGTATTTTTTTTGTTTATTGTCCTTTCGTGTGTTATCATTGTCCATTTTAAAATTAGGTTGTCTTTTTATTATTCAGTTGTAAGAGT